CTTTGTTGATTTTACCAATAGTATTTTGTTTTTTTCTGGGGGGGGGGGGGGGGGGGGAGTAGGGTCACGTGACCTGTTGTTGCAAAAGGTCCATTTAAATAACAACCAATCAAGACAAATTACGCCATCTTACGTCCAATAGTAAACCATTTTTTCTGGTTTATGATTGGCTGAAACTATTTGTATTATTACCGATATACTACCTTTTTTCTGGTTTATGATTGGCTGAAACTACTTGTATTATTAGCGATATACTACCTTTTTCTGGTTTATGATTGGCTGAAACTATTTGTATAATTACCGATATACTAGGGCCACCATTTGGGGAACCTCTGTTCTTGATGTAAGGTGCCATTTCTACGTATCCAACCAACTCGTTAAGAAACACTTTGATTCCAAGAAATTTAGAAACAGCTCGACAATCTTGCGGTTCGACACCCATCAGAAACGCCACAGGTACAAAGATATAAGAACAGATATTCTGAGAGAAAAAATATTAGCATTATAACATAAAAAATAATACGGCCACCCAGTTGGTTGAGCATCGGACTCAATCTCTTACCCAGAACYTGCGTTTCTTCTGGCCTGCGGCGAAGAACCAGAGGTCTGGCATAATCCATTTTTGGCGCATGCGCAATTTTTCCGAAAGTGAAATATAATCAATCGGAAAATCATGCTCTTATATCGGAAGTCCAAGAAATCCTGGTCTTCAAAACTGAATTATGCCAGTGCTCTCGTTCTTCGCCGCAGGTCAGAGGAAACGCAGGCTCTGGGTACGAGAGTGCATCAGGATCTGACAGCGTACCTCAAAACTTAATTCAGGATATCCAAACAGCCCACCAAGCCAGGAGAGGACTCCATTGAAGAATGCAATGTAAGCAAAGAATGTTATGAGCATGGCGCCGACGTTAGCGACAAGACTGACAGCCGTGGAAGCTCCTTTGGCAGCAGCCTCGATGACATTCTTCTCTCCTCTGTCAAACGAGAAAAAAAGATGTTGAGAAATTGTGCACCATATCAAGAAAACGCATACCGTTGGTATCAGTATTGCGTAATATTGCGCAATCTTCCCAGCTACAGTGCAAAGACTTATTTCGTTCCTACTTATGTTTCCTGGTCTGTGGGCAAGAAATCCAGACGAATTTAGCCAAGAACATGCCAAAACATTTTGATTGGATAAAAAGTGATATCGTGCGCTGTGATTGGTTCAAGGGATGTCATCGCGTGTTGTACCGTTCATAACCTACTTTTTTAAAGAAAACTACTTTATAGGGCGGTTTTTGTATGAGTGGGAGCTACAGCACGTACGCTTTACTACATGCCATAACATTGAAATGGCTTCCCATTGTCTTCCAGTAATTCATCCAATCACAACGCGCAGAATAAGGCTGCGAAAAGATACGATACGGCTACGAATTGTCCGTATCGTTTCCCACTCATAAGAAAACCGTTGTAATGGTAGCCATCGAAGACACCAATAGATCTAGCACCAGGCAGTACTTACTCATTTTCCACATGGATCCCATCTTGTGTTGCTGTCTCTGGTGTATCAGTCTCGGGGTAAAACAGCTTTGAAACAGCGAGTGCCGCTGGTGCCGACATAACCGAGGCCGTGATCAGATGAGAGGCCTGGACACCAAACGATATGTAAATCGCTAATACACCACCTGCCACGGTAGCCAGGCCGCTTGTCATGACCGCGTGGAGTTCGGAATCAGTTAGATGAGCCAGGAACGGTCGTATCATCAGTGGGGCTTCTGTCTGATAAAAATGATGTCAAAAAAGTTATCCTCCAGGATTTCTGTGGTAGAGAAAGGTAGAGAGAGACTGAACTGACCTGACCAACGAAGATGTTTCCAGCAGCTGTTAGAGACTCAACACCAGACGTTCCCATAGTGATTTGCATGAGCCAAGCTATCTTGGATATCATTAAAGGCATGATACCCAGGTAGTAGAGAACAGAAATAACCGAACTGAAGAAGATGATGACGGGAAGGATCTGAAAAACAAACCAAAAAGTATTCGTAGGAACTTTCGTTTTTAATTTTAACTAAATTTGTAGCCATATTGGAGGACAGAAACAACTATGTAATGTTTTTTCATTTAGAGATTTTATCTCCCAGTAAATAAGAATTTAGGCCGGTTTACACAGGTTGATCTATATTAGTCGGGCACAAACTGTCCTATTTTTTATATTGTAGGTCGTTTTGCGCAGGTTGATCTACGAACCTGTAAAAATCGGGCACCAAATTTAAATGGTCATAAAATTGCTTGGAGACGCAGAAACGTAGAAGATCTTTTTTCAAATAAAAAGTAGATGTTAGGCCTCAGTGATATTTTCAAGCACAAGAGTTGAGTTTGTTGTTCTTTCTTGTGATCGAGTTACTTCGATTCTGATGGCGCTTACCTTAAACGCAATCGTATGTTTTTCGTAATCTTCACCAAACACAAATTTCGAGCCTTGGTTGGTATAATCCAGGAAGACAGTGACTTGATCTCCGATGAACTTGAACGTTGAATATCCGTGTGTGGTGCGTAAAATAACGAAGGCAAAGATCACTTGTAGGGCGATACCCCATATCACCGGCCGCCAACGAACCTGGTATTGGTAGTGAAAAATGTAGCCATTAATAGATTCAGCCAATGCGCTATTGTTAACGTTGACCAATCAGATGCAGGGCAACTTATTTGATTGACAGTCGTATATATTATAATTATTATTAGATTCAGCCAATCAATTGCAACGACGTGTCGCCATTAACTTTGATCAATCAGATGCAGGGCAACTTATTTGATTGACAGTCGTACATATTATAATCATTATTAGATTCATTAACTTTGACCAATCAGAGCTGGGAAAAGTCGACTGATAATCGTATCTGTATTACCTCAAAGAAGAAAATCTGTGGCAGCGTAATTCAAAGATTTGTGCATTCATTGGTTAGCAACATCTGGGCGAAGGGGACTTTGTCCTATGACTCATTCGCTCGAAGAACTAGCGATAATAAATCTCAATATATCTCTTTCACCTCTTTCCCTCCACGCCCATTCCCCGCCCATTCCTGTCCCCTCCCCCAAGACAAATCACGAAAATGCTACCTTTCTTCGATTAGCGGAGAACAGATAACTGGTTCCTAGGAAGACAGCCATGCCTCCAAGGGAGATGAGTTTTCTTGGGTTTCTCGAAGTATCGTACCATAACCATACAGCAAAGAGCGCCAGTGCGATAACTAACACCACCCTAGAAGGATAATATGTGCATTAACAAGAGATATACCATAGTTGCCACAAGCAACACACTCATTAGCAACAAATGCGTATACAGGATTCACCATTGATGGAGAAAGTGGGGGAAGGGGGGAGGGGAGGGAGGGGACAACTCCCCAGCTCCTCCATACACAATAAAGGGCCTCCAAAACATCCTCCCCCCTTCTCGGAATATGGCCCATGATAACCCAAATACAAGATGTTAGATGGCAGGAAGAATAAAATCGTTTTACATGAGAAAGAATTCAATTCCCGAGAGCAAAAGGATTTTATTTTTCCGCCATCTAACCACAGGCAGTCCAAGCTGTATCATGGGCGCCGTTCCGTAATGGTGCAAAGCCTCTATTAGAATAAGCAATAAAGTATTACTCTTATCTGACTGACCATCTTATGATTTTCCAGTTTCTGTTGACTACGACGAGAACTGGCAGACAACAAGAGATGTAGATCCTTTCACCACAGAAATCGCGAACGAACATGTAAACGAGAAAGAACCACAGGACCATTGCTATGATGAACAGAGGTAGGGCTTTATCCAAACCACTAACACAAATGGCTACGAAAAGAACAGTTCTGGTTAGAATGATAACGATATGAGTGATTAATCCATTATTCAAATTTATCGATACCGTAGACTGAACCCGGGAGCCTGAAACAACCTCTGGGCTAAAGTCGAGTCACAGATTGAAATAGCATTTAGAGCATTAGGTTTTTCGGAGGGAGAAAAACTTAGCATTGCGATGACGTCATGGCCTTCATGTTGGATGAAGAATTTCTCTTCTCGTGTCATCCAAAATGGCGGTCAAAACGTATAGACCTCTTGCAGCACGTCGGAATGCAGCTCAACCGTGGGGACAAAACAATAGGTTCCAATTCTCAGGAGATTGTAATTCTTTTGTGTTTTTCCCCAGATTGAGCAGCTTTGACGTCACATGCAAGGGTTCTATTAGGGATTACTCATATATAAAATCTCTACGAGTAGAACACAGAAAGGTAATGATGCTAAAATAATTAATACCTGCGATACTTATGATCAGTAATACATTTGCTATAATGACTGCCTTGACTTGAAATGAGTACTCCGTGATGAAGAATTTTAGTCTTTCCCTTAAAGGTCTCTTGCCATCGAGCTTGGAAGGTTTTCCCGCGCCTTCAAGGTCCTCGTTGCTTTGCCGCGCCGAATCTACATTTTTTAACTCTATCTAAAATGAAAAAAATAATGACAGTTTTGATAGTTATGTGTTGGCCGCCGATTGGTTAGATTTCGTATGGTCATCTATATCATATGGTATGAGCGTACCGTAACCATGTAACATGATTGGTTGGTGTAAATTTTCATAGCGAACCAATCAAGTCACGTTAGTGAGGTCCTTTGACTGCAAACGCTCACCACAGGCAACCCATAAAATAAATTTCGACTGTAACCCATTGTAACATATATGTCTGTATATGTTATATATGTCATCGTCACCTTGTAACTGGAGCATGGCTCAACCCAGAGATCAACAGTGAGGTCAACCAGTAAAGTATTTTCCTTATTTATATTTTTTCTTCATTTTTAACCACCATTTTGATGATTTTCGAACTAAACACTGAAAAAAGATCGAGTTGCGTTACAAATTAGCCACATTTTTTAGTAGGGTCAGTGGATCAAAAGCTGATGGATGCAGTGTCATTTTCAATGTCGTATGCACGCTTTAGATTGACGTCCATCAAAAACTTCATATTTTCCTGTGTTTGACGACTCCATACTCTGTTTACTCTGTTAACTTTGGTAAAGAGTTTCAAGTTTTTCTTTGACAAGCGGAAAATTTTAATTTGCACTATATCGGAAAAAGCCACAAGATATCTTTTTTACTACTAGTTCATTTATGTGTGACTGAGAACCGGCTGAAGGCAAGTTCTGCTGCTCAGTATTAAAACAAACCACGTGTAAAATGAACAGGTAATCACAACTTATGGCTAACTTCCAAGAATCGCAAAAAGACGTTGAAAAGAAAAACAAAAAGCCTATAGTACAGACAACAATGCGAAGATATTGGTACGATAAAAACTGAAAGAACACATGGTTGGTGTTATTGTTTCTCTTATGTCATTCAAAGCTGACGGCGGTTAACTTGTTAATATTTAAAAAGATATAACTAGCTAAAAACTAGTGTGAGCTGCGTCGGTGTTT